CATACCCAAATATCTTAAAAAGGGGCTGCAACGGATCTGATACAGACTGATCCAGAATTGAACACTTCTATGACATCACAGAAGTGGCGCTACGGCTATTGGGCCAACACCTCCAATCAGGAGGAGACAGCCACGGACATTGTCGTTCGAAAGCGCTGGAGACGCTGTAGTACATATGCCAGGCCTGTAGATGGTGCAGTTCTCACAGAATCAGCCCATGCAAAGACAGTTTTGGTGTTGAAAATGTCAGAAAAAGTGAAAGACTGGGAGATAAATATCCCCAAATCTCAACATTTTATTATATTTTGTGTGTGTTTGTGGTCCTCTTTCAGCTGAGACACTGTAGGTGAAGGATGCTTCCGGAAAAGACCAAACACTGGATGTTTTCGAGACACTGATATTAACGGGGAAACCCTGCTGGACTCAAATGCCTCGTCTCTGTTCCCTTAAACTCATTTGGGAGTGATTACCCATCAGCCCCGGGGGTAACGCTGCCTTTCCTCTGCACGTTGTTTCTCTTTCAGAAACACAGAGGACTGTTTGTATGATGCGATCACAGACACGCTGCAAACGGTGTCCACCAAAAGTCGAGTCCAGTGTCTATGGAGTGTCATTTTTATTTGTTATAGTTTGGGAAGATTGAAAATCAGTAGGGAAAGTCAGCTAAGTCGGTAGGCGGTAGAAACATGTCAAAAGCGGAAGACTACCGCCCAAATCAGTAGGGTTGGCAGATATGCATTAATATGTTATATATTGTGACTTTAATCCATGAACACACTGTAACCGTAAATATGACTTGTATAAATGACTTTTAACAGTGTCTTTATGCCCAAGATCATCCATCTACTATACAGATATGTGTGTATCATTTCTTATCCGAGTGCCGGGGCTTCCTTGAGTTTGCTGCCTCCAGTGGAGACTCAAGCTTAAGACGGGCTGGATGACAGATTGCGTCTCCTTTGGGCAGAGCAGGGCTAGATGTTTCCCCCTGTTTCCACTCTAGCTAAGCTAACTGCTAGCAACAGCTTCATATTTAACAGACAGATGCGACAGATGGTATCAAACTTCTTCTCTTATTCTTGCAGAGAAAGTGTATTTCCTGAAAAGTATTTAGTGCTTGACCCCCGCATTGCATGTAAATCAAGAGAAAACGATCTGTTAAAAACCCACAGATGTGCTGCAATATGACATCAAATCCACAAAAACTGAGGCAAATAACATCTTAGGTGAACAATCCCTTGGTCTAGGATCAGGAGAGTTGATTTCCAGCTCTGCCTGACAGTATGTATTGTAAAGTCAATCCATTCCCATTCACAAGATACAAACCATGGACAAAGTGTTTCCAGTATTTCATGGCTGTGCTGACCGTGCCGGAGCGTCGTCATGGAGATATCTTCGAGGATAAGCATGAGCAAACATTCTCGAGAGATGATTCATGGTCATTCAGCCTTAAAGAAGTCCACGAGCATATTTCACATAGTCCTACTACATTGCTGTCTCTATAGGGGGGAATTGGCACAATACGCTGCTTTTATTCATACCAAAGCTCCAATACGCACCAAAACACAAGTCGATGAGGCGTACACATGCTATGCGTCATTGCTTTTCTTCGACTCAGTGAATGCCAATATGAGAGAGCATGTGAATACAAGCATATGTTTACATTTGAGACAAATCTCCGTGCCTGTGGCCCCGGCTGCTTC